AATACATGGTGCCACCCAGTGCACTGTACGGTACATGGTGCCACTCAGCAGACTGAACAATACATGGTGTCACTCAGCAGACTGAACAATACATGGTGCCACTCAGTGCACTGTACAGTACATGGTGCCACTCAGCAGACTGAACAATACATGGTGCCACTCAGTGCACTGTACAGTACATGGTGCCACTCAGCAGACTGAACAATACATGGTGCCACTCAGTGCACTGTACAGTACATGGTGCCACCCAGCAGACTGAACAATACATGGTGCCACTCAGTGCACTGTACAGTACATGGTGTCACTCAGCGGACTGAACAATACATGGTGCCACTCAGTGCACTGTACAGTACATGGTGCCACCCAGCAGACTGAACAATACATGGTGCCACCCAGTGCACTGTACAGTACATGGTGCCACTCAGCAGACTGAACAATACATGGTGCCACCCAGTGCACTGTACAGTATATGGTGCCACTCAGCAGACTGAACAATACATGGTGCCACTCAGTGCACTGTACAGTACATGGTGCCACCCAGCAGACTGAACAATACATGGTGCCACCCAGTGCACTGTACAGTACATGGTGCCACTCAGCAGACAGAACAATACATGGTGCCACTCAGTGCACTGTACAGTACATGGTGCCACCCAGCAGACTGAACAATGCATGGTGCCACCCAGTGCACTGTACAGTACATGGTGCCACTCAGCAGACTGAACAATACATGGTGCCACTCAGTGCACTGTACAGTATATGGTGCCACTCAGCAGACTGAACAATACATGGTGCCACTCAGTGCACTGTACAGTACATGGTGCCACCCAGCAGATTGAACAATACATGGTGTCACCCAGTGCACTGTACAGTACATGGTGCCACCCAGCAGACTGAACAATGCATGGTGCCACCCAGTGCACTGTACAGTACATGGTGCCACGCAGCAGACTGAACAATACATGGTGCCACTCAGTGCACTGTACAGTATATGGTGCCACTCAGCAGACTGAACAATACATGGTGCCACTCAGTGCACTGTACAGTATATGGTGCCACTCAGCAGACTGAACAATACATGGTGCCACTCAGTGCACTGTACAGTACATGGTGCCACCCAGCAGACTGAACAATGCATGGTGCCACCCAGTGCACTGTACAGTACATGGTGCCACGCAGCAGACTGAACAATACATGGTGCCACTCAGTGCACTGTACAGTATATGGTGCCACTCAGCAGACTGAACAATACATGGTGCCACTCAGTGCACTGTACAGTATATGGTGCCACTCAGCAGACTGAACAATGCATGGTGCCACCCAGTGCACTGTACAGTACATGGTGCCACGCAGCAGACTGAACAATGCATAGTGCCACCCAGTGCATTGTACAGTATATGGTGCCACTCAGCAGACTGAACAATACATGGTGCCACTCAGTGCACTGTACAGTACATGGTGCCACCCAGCAGACTGACCAATACATGGTGCCACTCAGTGTACTGTACAGTACATGGTGCCACTCAGCAGACTGTGTGATATGGTGTCACCCAGCAGATAGTATAACACATGGTGTCACCCAGCAGATAGTATAACACATGGTGTCACCCAGCAGTACCCAGCTGGCTGCATAATAAATGTGTCACCCAGAAGACAGTATAATACATGGTGTCACCCAGCAGTCCTTTCTATCTCCATTGAAAATACTTCCTTAAATCTCATGTTGAACTCTTCACATACTTCTCGGCCCTTTCTTGTGATCTCCTCTCCTTCCTTCCCCAGCCTGATTACCTGGTCCTTGACTATTGTTTTCCTCCTGATGTGGCTGTACAACACCTTCAGGTCAGACTTGGCTTTTGATGTAATGTTATTTTCGTATTGCCGTTTGGCCTTCCTTCTTATCTGTGCATATTCGTTTCTGGCTCTTCAACTAATCTAATTATTTTCCCTGGGTCCTTTGTCTTCTATACTTTTTCCTTTCTCTAACTTAGTTTTTTTCCTCCCTATACCTATGGGTGAACCAACTGCTCCTTCTGGTCTTCTCATTATTTGTTGCCCTTGGGTACGAACCTCTCCTCTACCTCCTTGCATTTTGTTGTCACATATTCCATAATTTCATTTACTGATTTTCCCATCAGTTCTCTTTCCCACTAAACCTCATACAGGAAATTCCTCATGCCTGTGTAGTCTCCTCTTTTGTAGTTTGGCTTCACCCGTCCTATTCTTCCAATGTCCCTCTCCACTTATAGCTCTGCAATGTATTCGAAGATCAGGACTATGTGATCACTAGCTCTGAGGGGTCTTTTATATGCGATGTCCTCAATGTCTGAATTACTCATGGTGAATATGAGGTCCAGTCTTGCTGGTTCATCCTCTCCTCTCTCTCTGGTATTGTCCTTAATATGTTGAAGCATGAAGTTTTCCAGTACCACTTCCGTCATCTTGGCCCTCCACGTTTCTGGTCCCCCATGTGGCTCCAGGTTTTTCCAGTCAATTTACT